GCACCAGGTTTTCTCTATGTAAAAAGATGGAATGGGGGCTTCCACCGGCAGAAATCCCACTGTTTCTTGATGCAACACAAGGGATTGGCTTCACCTTAAAAATGACCTGCCAAGACTGCATTAGGTCATGAAAAGAAATATAGGTCTACTGTCTTGCATATGATTGGGCTAATGAACTAACACATGCAGTGTACAATGAGGGAAACTTAGCCATGATGGCAACAATATCATAGTCATTTATGAAAACATACTTCAAGGCTTCTATACATTCAAAAATTAGTCTTAAAATCTCCAATTCTATGTGATCTTTAAACGAATTTGAAAGAGAATACAAAATTCATCCATCTCCATCAACTTACCTCAAGAAAGGTCTCAATTTTGACTGCCTTGAGAGAAGAAATATTCCGAAAATTCACATAAAACCAAGTCCGACATAAATCCAAATCCTTAGAGTTCAAATTTCATCTATATGGATTAGTCTACAAGCCACGAAAATGTCGGTTAACTCTGAAACGCTAGTCCTAAAATCTTCATCTCCATTTTCAATATTGGTCATAAAATAACAGCTGTGAAATACCACTAGGCCTGAAGAAAAGTGAACACATTGTGCTCCACTAGCCGATTTGAACTAAATGAGTCTTGATAACAATACAGTGACACACTTTAAGGCCAGGCTTAATAGATATTGGTTTAGTGGATTGTAAACAAACCTGATTCCGAATCGGGCTTAACTAAATTTTTCCTGTGACACTTTAAAATTTTTAAATTTTTCCATAGAGTTTGTATACGATTAAACATTGATTTTAAACTTAACTATGGTAATGCTCCAAAATTGAACTATATATTTTTAACTACGCCTAGCTGGTTCCACAGAGAGTCTTCTTCTAACAACGAGACACAATATGGTGTCAGGATGACATGATAGACCAATATTGATTTCAAACTAAGAGATGTAAAGATAGAATAGAGAAAAAGATGGTTCTCCATTATCTATTAATAAACTTGCATGATAACAAGTGACAAGCCACATATAGAAACTAATGGGATGATAACAAATGCAACATATAGAAACTAATGGGATGGTAACAAATGTAACATATAGAAACTAATGGGATGGTAACAAATGTAACATATAGAAACTAATGGGATGGTAACAAATGTAACATATAGAAACTAATGGGATGGTAACAAATGTAACATATAGAAACTAATGGGATGATAACAAATGCAACATATAGAAACTAATGGGATGGTAACAAATGTAACATATAGAAACTAATTGGATAGTAACAAATGTAACATATAGAAACTAATTGGATAGTAACAAATGTAACATATAGAAACTAATGGGATAGTAACAAATGTAACATATAGAAACTAATGGGATGGTAACAAATGTAACATATAGAAACTAATGGGATGGTAACAAATGCAACATACAGAAACTAATGGCACACTTTAAGGGAAGTTGTCATCTACTTTGGATCTCTAAAGATATCTCCATTAGACCACTTCATATTTGGATATCTTACCACAAAAGAAAATAAAATCAGTCAATGATCTCTGAGACACTTGGTACTATCTTGAAGAATCTTTCTAGGAATTTCCAAATCTATGAGCCGGAAGGAAGAATACCAGGAATCAATATTATCAAAGAAGAAGGAAGACAAGAGAAGATAATAAAAACAATAAAAAACAGTCTGGTTAATCAATCATCAAGTCAATAACCGTCCAGTCTTCCCACTTCATTTGTTTACACAGCTAAGCACCCAGTAATGACTTCATTTTTCTTTTTCTTTACTTATTACGTGGTTAGTAAACTTAAAGGACCTCACCCTTTATATATCAATAGTCTTTCTTTTGGTCCATTTTATGACTTAATTCATCACAAGATGTCTTTGGATATCTGAATAAATGTCTTTGGATGTCGCACTTAATCCTTTTCTTGTCTTTGCATATCTTTATATCTGAATGTCTGGATATACTGATATCTTAATATCTTTGGACATATTATGGATATCATAACCAGATATCTTTGGATATCATAATATCTTAGTAGATATCTTTGGATACCTGAATAATCTTAATAGGTGGATATTAGCTCAACAACAGATGTCTTTGTGGGTATCTAATTAGGCTTCTTTGTATATTTCTCTTCACTTGGATATCTTAGATATGGGTGAAAGTGGGTGATCTCCTTCAGATATAATATTCTCATCAATCACTGGAAGATATTGACTACACTAACCCAGTTATTGGTTATAGAAATATCTTCCAGTTAATAACTCTTTAGACATCTCAAATCATTCAGAATGTGTCAGAAACACTCAGAAATGGAATTTAATAACCAGGTTATGAGATGTTGGCTGCTCTGTTTTGTTTCTTGAATTGATATGAGGTCAAAGACAATTGGTTTTGGGTTCCATTAAAGTAACCAAATCAATAGACCACATTGTTGGGCATTGAAATCCAAAAGGTCAAAGTTTAAAGATTTAACCGACAAATCGCAAGCCAAATAATAAAATTAACTTGGCCTAAACAAATCAATGGGATTGTTGCATTGAAAAGGTATGGTGACATCAATGTCCCCAAGGCATTTAACTCAAGAGGTCAAAGTTCAAAGTATATTGACCACTGCACCTGATATACTCTTAACCTGTATAGTCGACTTAATGAATTTTTAATTAGAGATTAATTACAAAGTTCAGCTTTAATTACTTTCTTTAGATACAAACTAATTAAATGTCATAAGTATTTTAGCTATGTTAAAGTCACAGTGGGTCATAAAAAATGCCAAAATGTAAAAGTTATTTGCTATATACACCCTTTAAAAGCTTGCAAAGGTGACAAACCCAATCGTTAATTGGTATCAGGATTCTTTCTCAACAGACCAGTGGATTCTCATCATTCCAGTTGACACAGCAGAAAATAGGTACATAAAAATCCAGTAAAGATCAGGAGGTTTGGCCAAATTTAATACAGTACAAAGTATCCAAAGTTCATTTACCTTTAAAAACAATCCAAACTTCTGCTTGAAAATGGCCTCATGCCTTTTGCCTACTTTTATTAAGTCCTATTTGAAACCACAATACAAACCAAACACAAGTAGGCAACCACAGTGCTGTTTTGACTATAAATTAAACCAAGTAGAAGTACTAGCCTCCAGGTGTCAATTTGTCATTTCACTGTTTGATGTAAGAGTCTTAAAAAAACTTGAATATTCAGTAATAACAGCCTAAGGGATATAAAAAACGTAAAATGGATTGGCTAATATTTATTTTTAGATAATCTTAATTAATTTTGTGACAAATAAAAAATGAAATGGAGTTAACATCTTTATTTTGGGAACATGCATGTAAGCTGTGAAGGTCCTTAGCTATCATTAACAGCTTTTGAACAAGTAAGGCGCAAATGCTTGTTGAAATTTGAAGAACCACAGACATCTGACTGAAAATTGGAATGATGCAAATCGATGCTATCAGTGTTCCTGATACATATAAGAATTTTAGAAAACCTCTTTACAAACCCTTAAAGATGTTGATCAAAACATTATTCAAGGTGAAAAAACTCACTCCAAACTCCCTAGAAGAACACTCAATCCAAAAAAACAAAACAACTCGGAAACTGTCAGCTAAAAAAGACATGCTTCCTGGATTAGTTCCTTGATGCCAATGAACTTGGAAAGGATTATTATAACCATGACAAGCCTTAGGGAATCTCCCTGCTAATGATGCCAATGATTCTCGACTTTGAGGCATGAGACTTAACCAGCTTCCTGGTTTTGTCTAATTAGCACGCTTCCAAGAAAATGTATCCTCAAAAGCCACGAAAACAGTTCCTGGAATAGAGTTTAATGCCCTACAGCATGCAGTGTGCAATGATTGAATTTTGGCAGGACATCAGCAATATCCTGATATTCCAAAACCCAAGCTCAATGGAACTTACTAACACAGACAATGCACTTTAAGCTGTCTATATACCACAGGACCAATAGAGTCCTCCCACTGATTTTTTACAAAATTATGTAACAAGCCCTTAGGCAAGGTGTTAGAAATCATTACCACTAAGTCATTAATCTGTGTCAAGCCTGAGGCCAGTCTCTTCCATAAACTTTTCTTTCTAATGAACATTATCGAAAACTTGCTGCATAGACAAAAATTAATTAAGATCAAAAGTTAGGACAGAGCTAACGAGGTTAGTTAATTAGTCTGAGAATGATATGGCTGTATCTTTTATCTTTCTTTTCAGGCTTCTTGACCACACCTGCCACAAAATTTATTTAAATAGAAACAAGGGCCCATGATTCACATTGCAGGCCATTTAACCCCCACTTCATTCCTCAGAAATTTCAAAGTAGCATTTCTATATGTTTTTGCAATTTTTCTTACGGAGTAGCTCCTCAAACCTTTCATGGTGTCATCTACACCTGTACCTCTATTGGTACCCCCAGTTATAGGAGACTAGCAGTACCACTGCAGTATAATCAATATTCACAGTCTTCAGATTACCACAATGTTATAATAAATATTTCAAACTATGACACAACGCAATCTTAGACACATTGATTCTTTTATTTATTTATTTATTCATGTCTAGGATCAATACAGGTGAGGGCAATGTTGTAATATTTCTTTCATGTAACAGTGACTCAAGATCATTCATTCATTCATTCATTGATGTCAAGGAACAATTCCTTGGAACTAGACTTGGATAAAAGACTTAAAACTAAACTGGATGAAGAACTGTATGAAGACTAGAGTACGGTTAAGCTTACAGCTAAGAATAGATTAAGACCAGACCACGTATTCTCAACACAATCTTAGCGCTAGGATGTCCTGGGTTCTTATCTTCTAACATTGATTCTAGGACATCCTAGCTCTAAGATCATTTCGAGAACAAGAGCTAAGAACTAGTTCTTGCATATTGGTTTAACCATTTCAGTCCAAAAGACGGACAGACGGACAGGAGCATGGAAAAAGAACCCAACCCATTAAACCTACCTTGCCATCAGAGCAATGTGAACAGACTGTATCAAGGTCTTCAGTACTGTGGGCAGAAAGATGACCATCATCAACAGGAGGATGTAAGGTTCCTGAACCAGCTGCTCTCAGTCTAGATGCTTCTGGAGAGGTGAGTTGTTTCTTAGGAAGGCTGGGACTCTTGGCTGCTTTACGAAAAGGATTCAAGGAAGGAATCTTGCTGCTGTCAGACTTTTTCCTGTAAATGGACAAATACAAATGAAATGGAGTTTTACATCCTACTTTTCTGCTGTTAATTGGTCTAATAAAATGGATTACACCATGATCTACGCAATGAGGGGATTTTAAGTATAAGCTAAGCCCTTAATCCCTTTCCAAATTTAGAAAGATCCTAACATGATAAGCCTGAAGAACACAGGTCTTTGGTTTAGTGTCCCATCTAATTTAGATGCTTTTTCTTGTCAGCGATCCTCTTTGTATCATTGACAGGGTGTTGGGAGTCTGAGAGCTTAGCTGGGTTGGAGAACCAGTAGGTACCATCTCAAGCTAAATTGGTTTCCAGCCTTGGACCTCTTCAATGGTTCCTGGAATCTCTGAACCTCTTTAGTTGGTTCCTGGAACTGTCAAGCGGAATGTCATTTTCAGGATGAAAAAAAGAATGTCATGACCTAATGGAACCACTAACTCTGACTGACTGACTGGAATGCCATCAATTCTCAGGAAAGGAAGTGATCTAAAAGGGCTGTCTATACTGTGTTACTATTTATAGTAACTTTATCTCATATCAACTTCCTTGGACAGACAGACAAATGGAAACTTGTAAATGGCTTTCATTTACATCGGAACAAAAAGTGGCAATATTTCAAAGAGTTCTATGACCTTCGATGGCTTTTTATATAGATGTCAGTTAGCTAGAGTCAGAAAAAATAACAAATCTTTTAAGTAGTCAAAGAAACTGCTCTTACACCACTGCACTAGATGAAAGCTCTACTCTTTGCCAATCTTTGAAATCCAATCCAATGAAATGAAATGGAAGTAAACTAAGTGCACTCGGTACTATAATAACAGATATGTCATGCAGTGTACAATGAGGGAAATTTTGCCATAAATGATAAACTTATTTTGTCTTTTTCTATCCACATGCTCTCTCCCTATATGTTAATTTAATCAAATGTGCCAAAATTTGATTGGTAAAACTTGTAAATGTTGTGTTTATTTAGACTCTAATAAATCATTTACATAAATCAATAATATTTACAATAGAGGTATATATCAATAATATTTACAATAGAGGTATATATCAACAGTATTGTCCACTGCCCACTGTTTTTATTTTATTTACATATTAATGTGTTAATGCGTTTGATTATATTCTAATTTCTGACTTGACCTTAATATCATTGATCATTGGTTCTGCAATCTGTTTCACAGAATATTACGTAGTTCGTTATCTAAACATTAAACAATTGATACAAGCCACAAAACTAGACTCAATCACTGGCAAAATATTGGTAGGAGCTAACGAATTGATTGCAGTGACGGCCCAGCCTTCCCCATTATGTGATTTTCATACATTTCTAGTACTTCTGAAGACTATTTACATATATTCAAGATTAAAATCAACCCACCAAAATGGCACACCTGTCCCTTTAAGATTTAAAATTTAACTGAAGTTATGATATTATGATATTTTTTATTATGATTACACCCTACCTAGATGTGAAAGGTCAACCTGGTATTTAACTGAATTCCTACTCTTCAATTGACCCCATTTTAGAGAATTATTAACTTGTGGTTTCATCGTTTGAATGACTGTCATTACTGGACTACATTTCATGATGGATTGACAACATCTTCACAATGTCAAGCTATTACCAACTGTATCTTATACCTTGACAGCAATAGTCACCTTCCTTGTATCACAGAAGTTTGTAAATGCAGTGATTTGATTGGATTAAATACTACCACATACAAAATATCAGAGACATCAACGGAAAGACAATAAACAATTTGGCATCGCATGAAATCGGCAGCTATGATTGGCTGTATTTGCAAACCTACAAACCAATCAAATCGCTACAAGAAACTCATACATCCTTCAAAAATCAAGTTACAGACTTAAAGAAGGGAAATGACCACACTTACCCGAAAACTTTGCGGTAGATAATTTCATCATCAGACGGATAATGAACCTGTACCATTGGATAGAGGGTGTCCATTTTGAAATCCACGAAAGTCAAGTCACTGAATTCCACAAGAAAACCTTTGAATTTCCAAACTTCGGTATTTTCTACCTACAACTTTTGACTTAACACAATAGTTTTCCAAACTAAGAAACTTGGGTAATATCATCTAAAAATTTCGGCCTCTCCAACCATTAAAGCAACACGAAAGTGGCGTTACGTACCAATGTCTTGCTTAAAAGAGTTCAGTAAAAGTACGAAAAAAATGGAAATTATGCAGAAGTCTAGCAGTTTGATAATGAAGTCAATGACATATGGTTTTATATATACTAAATACTCATATATATATATATATACAAATACAAGTAATTGATTTTAAATTAACCTCAAAGGTTTAATGAATTCACAAATATAAAAAGTGTTGAGTTCTTTATTCCTTTCTATTTCTTAAAGTACATTTGCCTGTAATCCAATATTACAAAGTTAACTTCAACATTATTGTGTATTGAGATATGAATTAATTTTGGTGTCACGGTTTTCCAAACTTATGACATCAGTCTAAATCAATCAAGCATCAAAAGGGTCAAGAAGCACTACACTCGCTTTCGTTGAATGAGTTGAAATAAATTTGCATGTATGCCTTCAATCCAATATTAGAAAGTTAAGCCAAAGATTTGTATATCCAAAATTAATTAATTTGGTCCCGGTTTTCCAAACTCATAGAATTGTTTCTCAGTCAAATGATCAATACATTTTTAAGGATGAAAGCTCATTCATGTTCTGTTAACCATCAGAGTTTAAATAATTTGGAAGCTCCAAGATCTTTCACAAAGTCACAAGCATATCCAGAGTGTCTTCGAGATCTAAAACTGCACACCAAATCTCAAAATCTCTCAATCCAAGTCAGCTAAAATATAATCCAATGAACTAAGAGCAGTCCTTGCTGCTGCATAAACCCTGTCCTTAATGGCCGTTTACGAAATTAATTAAAGAATCAAAGATGACCCTAATTAAGACATTTATTAACGAACTTCCTGATTTTATAATTAGAAGATCACTTCCAACATTTTATCCCTTTCCGAAAATTTTATTTAAATTTCCTTGAATTTCTAAGCATTTCCAAATACTTTTAAGTTCAAATAAGTACAAGATCAAAGAGATCTTCTTAATTAAGACATCAATTAATTAACTTCCTGATTTTTTAATTAAAGGATGATGATAAATCCATGGCTGAAACACTGAACAATAAATAATAATAAAAATATTGACCATCAGTTTAATGAGAAACAATGTTATAATGAATAATTTCCTATATAACTATAAACTATAGAGATAACATCCTTCCTTGTATATCATTAAACTCTTATGTCATATCCTTAACACATTTCATTATTAGTATTTGGTTTTTCCATTGTCAAAGGTCAATACGATTCAATACAATTCAAATAATTTGTTCCATTTATTTTCTGTGGGTTACTGCACTGATTCTAGTTCTGATCTGATGCTCACACATATTTTGTTTCATTTATAATCTGTGAGTTTCTTCAATCATTCAAGATATGATCTGATCAATGCTCACCAACCAAACTTTTCAGATTTTTATATATTACAATACAATTTTCCATATTTTGTTTCATTTATTTACTGTGGGTTACTTCACTACTTCTAGATCTAACAGCATCTTTGAAAATTTAGGTTTAAATTACAACCCCGAGGTCCAATAGAATTCCTTACATGATGTTAACCTCTTACCAAACAGATCGTTTAATTGGTAGAATTGGTGAACACAACTTTCTAAATACGATGTTAGATCTTGAACATGTGAAGTAAGCACAAAATGAAAATTCAAAATTACAAGTGCAAGTTTTAACATATATCTAATTAGTTTCAAGCACTCTACTTTTGTGCTTGTTGAAATTAAAAGAGTTTTTTTTATAACCATAAGCTAATTCACACACTAACAAACAAGTTATTATCACAAATTCAATTATTAAACAGAGTTTCCAATGATAACAGAGTTTCCAATAATGACAGAGTTTCCAATGATAACAGAGTTTCCAATGATAACAGAGTTTTCACATCAAAATAATATATAGTTCTCATAAGAAGTTTAACTTCCTACATGACCTATATGTACTTGACAATATTAAACATTCACGTTTTTCCTGTTTTCCAACCACAAATTTCACCGGTTTAGTTGAAATATGTAATTATATTTTGAAATCATATTTTGTTCCCAAAAAATTCTGGAAATGATCGCCAAAACACAGACAATGAGGTTGTAACGCAATGGGATCTATGCCCACTTCAGCAGCTTTCTGCAGCAGCTCAATGATGTTGTAAGATAATGGGATCTATACCCACCTCTTTTCTAAAAGAGCTCAATGCATTATAGGGTGTAAGGCATGATGACATATGCCCACTGGCAGCTTTTGGAATATTGTTGAGCATTAATGCTATCAACAAATAAGTTTCTGTTCTCTGGGATTTCTTCCCATGGAAAGATATTGATTTAACACAAGTTGTAAGGCAGACAACATACGCCCACTAGCAGCTTTGCTTTGGGTTAAAAGGCATGGTAATAAATGCCCACGTGCAGCCTAGCATAGCTGAATTACACTACAAGAGCCAATTTTTAGCATCTAAAGAGCACATCTAGGTTAAAGGTTAGAGTTAGTTTAAGATTAGTTAGTTAGTTAAGCATACTAAAACTAATACTAAATATATTTAAACTATGCTTGCTTATGCTTTCATGCTTAGATTAAAGCATTGTTAGTCAAATATGGTGATGAAAATACAAAAAAATAGGGTGCAATATTGAATATTTCAAAAAATAAAATGATCTTGTGCAAAACAATTAAAGGGCTGAGAGGGACGGGAGCTGGGAAGGAAGGAAGCTGGGAGCTGGGAAGGGAGGGAGCTGGGAAGGAAGGGAGTTGTGAAGGAAGGAAGCTGGGAAGGAAGGAAGCTGAGAAGGAAGTAGCTAAGAGCCTAAAGGTTCAGGGATTATACTCCAAAAAGACCCTTTCTTTTGATCTTTGGAAGCACCCATCCCTCTATGAAGTGCCTAAAAGTGCAGCATGAGGAAAGCCCTAAGTGCAGGGAACTTAGTACAGCATAGGAATTGACCTTACTGTTGCATAGGAGGGAATAATCTAGTGCAGCATATGGGGAAATGACTTATGTGCAGCTCTAAGGGTAAGAAATTTATTGAAAATTGCAGGGATTCAATAAATCAAGTGCAATAACATAAGGGAAGCCCAAAATAAGGGAATTTCAGCAACAGGGAAATTATGAAAGTTCTTCATGTGGGAAGTTACATTGCAGGATTTCAAAATTAAAGTGCATTGTAAGGAAAGTCCAGCAATAAGGAAGTCCAGCTTAAAGGAATTGACCTAAGTGTGAAAGGAGGGAAGTGAAATACCAACCTGAGGACAGGCAAACTAAATCTCCTTTCTGAACCTTTTTTCTCCATACTTTCAATTCAACCACAAAAAATAAATCAAATCATAAACAACATGCAACTCCATTTTATTTTAAATATCAAACTAATATCAAACGTTTTAGACTTCTTTTTAGAGAGTTCTCATTTAACACTTTAGCATATGTTTCTTTCTAAATTTGACAACTGTTTTTTTCCACATTTGACGACTATTTTTTTTTCTAAATTTGACAACTGTTTTCTTTTCAATTTGACAGCTGTTCTTTTTTTAAAATTTGACAACTGTTTTTTGTTTATTGTCTAAATTTGACAACTGTTTTTTTTTTATTTAACAATTGTTTTTGACTTCCATAACAATTTTTGCAACATTTTTACTGAAGTCCAAAACTTTCCAAAAGTCTGATATTAAAAAACATATTTACATCACCAACATTTCTAAAGAAAGAAAAATATTAGTTAAAATTAGTCAAAATAAACGGTAAATAAATAAATATATCAAAAATGAAAACAATGACCGAGGTGAAATGGTGAGAAAAACAAGGGGGCAGGGAAAGAAAAAGAGAAGGGATTAATAAAATTACAGGGTAAGATGCCTTGAATTTGCTCCTTCGATCCAGGGGCAAAGAAATTGGTTTGTTAAAGGGATTGTACTCATAATTTCGATAATAATCCGAAAATCTTATAAAACTTAAAAGAGATCTCTACACTGAAATTATATAATTATATGACACAATCCCTTTAAAATGAAAATTAGTGGCAGCATAACTTCATGCTTAAAAAAACTACAGTTAAATAAAATATACTCAAAAAATGCTGTCAAAGTGAATAATTACTTTATCATGCACGAAATTGCAATGCATTAGTTCCGAAGCAGTCAACCATTCTTAGTTCGTGAATTTTCAGTGAAAGCAAGAAGCAGAATTGAAAAAATCAACTGCAATCGTCAACATGTAAAGGGGAACAACTCTGTACGTCATACGTTTAATGACAACCACAATAAACTTAGCAGTTGTTGTTTTAGCTATATGATTCAAGGGAGATAACTCTGAATGTCATTTTGTCCGTTTGGAACTACTAAGCTACGTGATTGTTATGAGCCCTGAAGGCAGGGTGGAAGCAGACACATTAACAAAATGGTATTGATTTGGCTTTGAGGCTAAAAAAAATGGCAGATAAAGATAACACTTCTTCAGACTTGAGATAATTCTAAAGTTCATTGAAAAGGTCATTGAACAAGACGTTATTCTTTCATTAAAGCATCCTCGCATAGCTAAATGATTGGAAATGCCAACAAAAATCCCACAAGCAATGGCAGTGGTATAGATATATTTTTTTGTCTTGAGGGAGAATTCAAAACTTCCACACATTTCCAACGTTAACCTTTTTCAACTAGCAGACGTCAATAAAACTTGCAACGACCGAGCCCATAATAGTTCTCGATACAAGGGGACATCACTCCAGTACATAGACACTTCAGAGTTATCCCCCTTTCTTTATATCTGAATACTCACATTGTCGGGCAGACTTTGATACTGATTCCACTCTTGCTGTTAGAAGCTGAACTAGAATCAGTTGATATATCAAACGACTGTCGACGTCTGTTAACTACATGATTATAATAGAATGGATCTGAAATTAAATGAATGAATAAATGAATGAATGAATGAATAAATGAATGAATAAATGAATGAATGAATGAATGAATGAATGAATGAATGAATGAATGAATAAATGAATGCATGAATGAATGAATGAATGAATGAAATCCAAAATTTCATTAGACATAGTATAGTCACTTCAGTTAGGGTCTAACGACAGCCCTTTTGAACATTTGTCGAATTAACTTTTTGACCTAACTGACCTTTTTAACCAATAAAATTTCTACCCTCTCCAGCGCTTGTGTTTTGTGACGCAGTGTTTCTCAGGTTAGGTCAAAAGGTTAATTTGACGGAAGTTCACAAGGGCTGTCTTTTGACCCTAACTTAAGTGACTGTATTAAACATAAAAGCAAATAAAAAATGGAACGAAAGTTTGGTATAATCTTAATCAGACTGATAAATAAATAAATGACAAGGGCAGTAACTCCTATCTAACCTGGAACTTGTAAATAGAAGGAATCGGCACCACTACTGGTCGAAGGCTTTTCTTGATTGGCTGGTGGTTCCCCTAATTCTATTGCACTATGGGATAGGTTGTTAGAGCCGCCATTGTGTCCTGAAAATATAAAGCATTACAATTAAATCTCAGAACTTCCGGATGGCAGGAATTGAGAACTATTTCTGAAAATTTAACAGTATTCAGATAAGGTAACATACGCCCACAGCAGCAGTTAAAATATATTACTGAATTAACTCTCATTTTTGTTGTATTATTGCACCCAAATTCAAACCTACCCTTCATTTTTTTGTTCTTATTTTACACAAGTACGGAGTTAGAATTTTCTTTATAAAATTAGGCAATGATGAAGTAATTTTATATCTTTCCTCATTGCTCACTGCAAGGCATTAACAACCTTAGCCCATGCAGGCGAGTTATAAACTATATAAAACTCTATATCATTTCATTTTCTCAAGCCAGACAATATCAAAGCTAATTCAAAAGATATAAAAAGCTTTTAAGAAATACATTATGTCAAATGATACGGAAATATCAATGTGTCTCGGATGCCTGTGTGCTAATAGGGTATATGTCTCGGATGCCTGTGTGCTAATTGAGTGTGAAATAGCCTGTCAAATTGTTAATAATCCTTCAGAAAGTTTGAGTCTGAGGTGAACATTTCACATCCGTTACAATGACAGCTAAATTGAATTTCTTGTTTTTTGTCCTTACTTCGATATTAAGATTTTCACCAAAATATGCTAAAAACAAAATTTCAATTTAATGCAGAGTTGCTTTAGAATGTGTGGTTTGAATAAATGAATGAATGAATGAATGAATGAATGAATGACCAATTAATTTCCTGATTGTAAGAGGTCAAAGTTGAAAGAATTCAAGGAAATAGATGAAACAATTTGACATAAATTCATCTTGTTAGATAAGATGAATGAATGAATGAATGAATGAATGAATGAATGAATGAATGAATGAATGAATGAATGAATGAATGAATGAATGAATGAATGAATGAATGAATGAATGAATCCACAAAAGAGCTTTCAAATCTATCAGATTAAACCAGAAACTTTCCAGTAAACACAAATACATGGTTCTTTGAAACCTTTTATGGTATAAGCAAATATGCATAAAAATGAATGAATAAATAAAGTTATAAAATAGACAGATGGTATGAAGCAATGGATGAATAAAAATGACCTAAATACCAACCTGGACTAGTTTGTTTTGGAATGCCCTGTAGTAAATAATCCGGAGTACTATTTCTTCTCATTTTCTCATCGTACCAGGCATCCAGCCCATCCAGAGAGTTTTTATGTTTTAATTTCACCATTTTGTCAAGTATTGTCAATGTATATCACAATATAGAATCCACTATGGAATGATGGAATGCTTACTGTTTGTTTGATATCACTCTAATTTTGGGGAATTCAGCAGAATACTTGATATATGCTTATTGTTTGGAACACATGCTATCACTCTTATTTTGAGAATTTAACAATGTTCTTCATGAGTATTTTTAAAATATTCCCTGTTAATTGGCACAGACTGTAGTTTTAACCTCTATGATGTCAAATTTATTTTTGTACCTTATTAACTTCATTATGTTCATCTAAAAACATATCAGAAAAATGTGTTGATTGATCTACATTCGTTATGTACCAGCCTGGATATATGAAACCACTCATGTATTTGACACGCCTCAACTTTATAATGAACTCTTCCACACATGCATAATCTCAATGAATATGAATAGATGCATGTATGATTGGAAGAGCTCATTTGTAAAATTAGGGCTGTTTTTAGTCTGTCACAATATATCCAGTCTTGGGTACGTAAGTCACCAAATATCAAGATTCAACTGATTGTTTATTCATGGCTAATCCGGCTCAGGCTATCCTTATCTTAATCCATTGATCTCTTGATCCTTTCTATAATCCCCCAATCATTCAATATTCTGAAGGTGTAACTTAATCCATTTAAAGGCACACAATCAGATTTAAAATTCTCTTCCTCCTGAACTGTAGGCTCCCTTAAATTACGGTTAATTCCAGATTTTTAATGCACGAATATGATTTTAAATCATTATTAGTGATTGACCAATCAGATGACTAAAATACACAGAGATCACAAAAGTTCCTTATAGAATTCCATGGAATCTTCACTCTTTTGAAAAACCAAATGTCACTCTGCACTTGAGTTAGTCACATCAACTTGACAACATAAAATCTAAACAAATGACAATATCAAGAGCTTAACTAAAACCATATTTAATAAATACCTTCAACGTTTTCACCAAATATTTGGCTTTCAATCAAAAAATATCTGTCCAATACGGACAACAAATTTAGAATGACACTGTAAAAAATTGTCCAATCCAAAAGAAATAGTAAAGTCATAATCCATTGACAAACAATAATGGTGATTTGAAAAACATGATATATTTGTATGCCACATAGTACACAAATTCCAAACCTGAATTACCAGTCAAATATCAAAATCTGATATCTGTCCACAGAGGGAAAAATAATTTTAACACAATTCTTCTAATTTAGAAACTGGCACATTCTCCCTTTCTAACACAACAGTGCTTAAATCCTGGGCTAGTGCTTTTTATTGAAAAGTAGCTTGTCCTTACTACAACATTCAAGTCACTGTTGAATGAACCATCACTATAAGCTTATACATCCAAATACATACAAATACATCCAACCCTATACAGCTATTAGTTCACATTATCTTAAAGTCACATTGTGCCATACTTCTTCTTCTAGGACTCACATGGGACCATTAAAATCAATTAAGTGTCCTTGCCATTGGGACCTTTTACACCACAAAACAAAATCGTGACCATTGTCTTTGCCAGTGAAATTGTGACTTACGCCTAGAACTTATAAGATGTGATCGAGGAAGAGCAAGCTCACTTTTTTGAAAAAATCTGACGTTACTATGCCATTGGGTTTATCTGCTCAACACCCCTTTCTGAGACTCCACATAACTAATATTGCTCAAGTGGTATTTTACTTATTTAAAAAAATTGCTGTGACCTCCAGACTAGTGGGCAAGCACCTAAAAGTCTTCAAGTCTGATCCACCAGTTACCCAGGTGTTAAGTATTGATACACGATTATGTTAAAGTATTAGAACCTGAGACCATCTTTAACTCATTAAGAGAAAAGATATGCCTTTATAATGCTCTTAAAATTGATATAATTACAGACATTTAGTCTTCACAGATGTCACGTTAGTTTGCTATAAGACATTATCTTAAGTCATGTTAAAAGCAATAAGCCTACACAAATGTCTTATTAATGCCCGACAAGCCTACACAAACATCATGTGAAAGCCTACACTTTTCCCCTGATTAGGTGTTAGAATGCAAGAAATCATTTCTATTCTATAGCCATTTTCTTGGAAGAACCCTCACAGTTGCAGTATTTTGAATTCAGCCTCGACAGTTGTCACCCTGTTTAATCAATCTGCCACCTATTTGTATCTCCAGTCTTAAAAGACTGGCACAGCCATTGATAATAAATTACATCACAATATTTGGCTCATGGTGATTTTAAATGATATATTATATTACTATAAAAGAATATATAGTAGAGATATGAATGTTATCATGTAATAAGGTAATTTGAATCTATTTTAACTTCTGGTATATTTACAAATAGTACTGGTATATCTATACATATTTATATATTTATTTTATGACATATATACTGTTCAAATACGGAAATATACTGTCAAAATACTGAAATATACTGTTCAAATACTGAAATATACTGTTCAAATACTGAAATATACTGTCAAAATACTGAAATATACTGTCAAAATACTGAAATATACTGTTCAAATACTGAAATATACTGTCAAAATACTGAAATATACTGTTCAAATACTGAAATATACTGTTCAAATACTGAAATATACTGTCAAATACTGAAATATACTGTCAAAATACTGAAATATACTGTCCAAATACTGAAATATACTGTCCAAATACTGAAATATACTGTCAAAATACTGAAATATACTGTCCAAATACTGAAATATACTGTCAAAATACTGAAATATACTGTCCAAATACTGAAATATACTGTTCAAATACTGAAATATACTGTCCAAATACTGAAATATACTGTCAAAATACTGAAATATACTGTCCAAATACTGAAATATACTCTTCAAATACTGAAATATACTGTCAAATACTGAAATATACTGTCAAAATACTGAAATATACTGTTAAAAAAATCTACCAAAATACAGAACTCAATACTAAAATGCACAGTCAAAATACTGAAATACTCTGATCAAATGCTGAAATACTCTGTCAAAATACAAAAGAATACCTTCAATATTCTGAAATACAGAACTCAATACTGAAATACTTCACCCATATACTGAAATACTTAGTAGAAATACTGAAAAACTGAAATACACTGTCTTAGATACTAACAACAGTATACATCTCATATCAGTGTACTAATATAATCCAAAATAAAACTGACTTAAGGCAACCAAATCAGTAATTATAGAGGCAATCAAATCAATGATTTTATATTCATACATGACATAAGAAAAATAACATAACTGAACTATAATGACAGTATGTCTTTATATAACCATTTACTAGTCAATCAAACCATAGTAACTCTTAGTATTTAAAGGGACATGTTCACCATCCTTTTGACCAATCATACTTTAGTCTCAGAAATAGAAATTTTTTAGCTAAGCTAATCAGTAATAGTGTTTACAGCTCACTGTCGAAATTTGAACCTTCAAATCCATATATGTTCAGAATTATCCGTGATTGAAAGTTAAAATGACCAAGTTTCACTAATGCATTAATATCAAATAGATAAACTAATAAATTTGCAGATACTGTCAGTTCAAAGCTAGGCTGTTATCAATAAGAACCATAAAGATCCTTTATCCAGCATAGAGATTGCATGTTGTGTCAGCATTTTTCAAGAAAATCAACCTTTTAAAAAAGCTTTTAATTAAGGACAGACTTATAACATCAATAATTTCTACACAAATCAATTTTTATTTCAAACAAATACCATATCTTAATTATCTCTTAATATCACTGAAAGAATTGGCATGTATCAAGATAGAACCTTCAGATTCTTTAACCTGGTTTCCCCTGGCAGTGATACAGGCTTTTAAAATAGTTTTCCCTGTCAGGGATGCAGGTTTTCAAAAAGGTTCACCGCCAGTGATGCTTGTTTGATACTTATTTCATTTACATCCTTTCAAATGTCAGAATTAGAAAAAGCTTGATTCCAATAATGTCCCTAGGCTCCAAAAACTCTAACCAACCGAGCTACAGCCCTCCCACATGGTAACTAAAAACACTTCACTTCCATCAACAACGATCTCATTCCAATGAAAGAAAAAATTGATCTAGTGAAGAGTGCTGTACAAAATGGTGGAAATTATATTAGAATGAGAATGACCAAGTAATGAGATTAAATCAATTCTTGAATCTAAAATAGAATAAATTTGAATTAATTTTGTTATTGTCTTTCGATCTTTTTTACATTTTATTTCAACAGTCAACAACTTATCGAGGAAAAAATAATGCTACATCTTCGTTCAAATAAGAAGGACTTGTCTACCTTTGAAAGCTTACGCAATGAACTTTTCTTCCTCCAAATGAAGAGCTCTTAGCAACGTAGCTGAGTTCAGCATCACAATTCATTGCAAACAATTTACACACAAGTCCCCGCATTTGTTTACAACAATTAAAATATGTTTCCTGCTTACAGGTGAACTTTTTAACCTCCAAATGAAGAGCACTTAGCAACGCAACGTAGCTGAATTCAGCACCACAAAACTTAAAAAATAACGCTTCTGAAATTCTTCAGATAAATCACCGCATTGAAATTCACATTAATGAATACTGTCATAAATATGTCTGCTCATAGATGAACTTTTCAACCTCCAAATGAAGAGCTCTTAGCTCTTAGAATCACATAATAACGCTTCTAGAATTCTTCACAGAAATAACCACATTGAAATTCACATAAATTTATACAGTCATAAATACGTCTGCTTACACATGAACTTTTCAACCTCCAAATGAAGAGCTCTTAGCAAGGAAGCTGAATTCAGCATCAATAAACTGACCCTGTGTAAGTTGATTTGTATTCACTTGTCAAGCCCCTTGTCAATCTTGTTGACACATACTTTGATGTATTAATATAGAATACTTAGTGTGGATACTTTTATAAAGTCTCAAATGTAAACAAAACTTCAGGCCATGGACGACTGTGGCCTAATACTTTATCCAAAGTTAATGGGTAATTTTGAAATGTTTGAAGTTGTTGATAAAGAAGTATGCTATCAATCAAATGGATCATCTTGATACTTTTCTATCAATACTTGCATGATACTTTACTTTCAATACTTGCATTGTACTTAATTTTGAATACTTCTTTTATTTTGAACACTAGCATGATACTTAATTTTGAATACTTGCATGATACTTAATTTTGAATACTTGCATGATACTTTACTAATACTTGCATGATACTTTAAATTCCATACTTGTACTAGCTTATTCTCAAAGCTTTTTCAGAAAAATGGTGCACAAAATAAGTCTTGAATCAAATTTGGATGAAACACTTCAAGTAAGAGAGCTGAAAACAGGTTTTAAGCTTTAAACTTCTGGTTTCTGACCTTGTATATTTTTCTCAAAATGTTAAAAAAGTTTTCGATAAATCAATGGCATCTAATGTCAAAGGTTGAGTTATTTTTTTTCTAAAACTCATATTTCACAATAAAACCTGTAATAACAGCATGGTAGAATAATCATTACATATATAAAACACAAACTGTTGTAAAGTTCAAATGATACAGTTAATGTAAGGCTTAGACAGTGAAAATATCACATTTAAAGAGATTGTCAAAAGGTTTTCTAAAAATTTGTATGTGTATCGGGGACACTGATAGCATCAATTTGCACCATTCAAATTTCAATCAGACGTCTGTAGTTCCTGCAATTCTACTAAAGTCCTTATGCGACACCTATGTCGAGACTGAAACCTGGACCTTCAGGTTAGTGTGCAAGCGTCTAACTCACTGAAAACCACTGCAGACCCTCTAGGGACACAGAACAAAGATAAAATTTTACTGTTCATGTAATAAACATCTATCTGTCTATCAACAACAAATCTTCTGCCAAATAAAATAAATAAAAACAAAAGAGATATAAACACATGAATACATAGAGAGTTTATATTCCTGCACAGAAATTCATACATATTCTTATGACCAAGATTACTTGTAATTATTTTACCAGTATCTCTATTCATTATGAAAATGATGCCATATTGATAAATAATTGGTAAAGTTTGGCACATTTTATAGAATTCACTGAAACCTTAATTCCTCCAAGACATTTTCAAAGAAATAAATAACACCTTGAGGTGACTTTCAACGAAACTCTTGGATTTTTCACATTTTTGGCAGGATTTGGCACATTTTAAAGAATTTGCTGAAACCTTAAAACCTGTGAGATTTTCAAAGAAATAAATAAAACCTTCAGTTGCCATTCAATATCACCAACTCCTAGATTTTACACATTTTCTGAAAAAGTGTGGAATTTTCTTCAAACTATTAGACAAATGTAGACAGTTTTGACTAGAATTCCTGATAATGAAGCCAATTTCTCCAACAATTCTTACATTTTAACACTTTTGATAGAAATGAGAAAGCGGGTTTTAAAATATAAAAAAAAAATATTTTTCCAAGAAATCATGCCAATTTGTCTCAAACTTTTTACAAGTTTCAACTTTCATATTCATATTACACAAAACAACAATCCCTCAAAAATATTCCATAACATAAAATAACCAACACCATATTTCTTAATGATCTGAAACCATTTGGAATTTCCACCATCTGGACAAAGTTCCAGAATAAATCTTCCATTCAATGGTGCCAAGTTTACCAAAATGTCTTTACACTTTAGATAAATATAACTGATATATCAGAAGTCTGTAAAGATTATAAAACTAGTGTAAGAATATGAAATAGAAGTATCAGAACAACAGAAATTAAAAAAAACAATATGATTCCAGAATAATGTATTCCTGGTAATGATGCTCAAATATTTTCAAAACCCAATTTTATAAGACACCACAAAAGATACAGATTTCCGATTCCAAAAACTATTTCCAGAATATAATATTCCTGGCAATGATGCCAATGAAAGAGTATTGGAATGGTACGACAGTGTACCAAAAAAACAAATCAAAAACTGGAATGATGCCACATTATTTTGTGCTCAAATATTTTCAAAACCCAAAGAAACAAATCAAAACTATACCACAAAACATATAAATTTCCGATTCCAGAAAACTAATTCCAGGATATAATATTCCTGGCAATGATGCCAATGGAAGATGATTGGAATGGTACCACAGTGTTAAAGTATCTAGTTAATTATATCCTATTCACAGTGAAGTCAGAAACTTAATGAAAACAATAACTACAGTGTAACACAAGAAATCAATTTCAAGTCAGCTGGTACACGCTAGGTGGCTGATGGTACATTATTACCTTTAACACAGGCATTGGTTAGAGTTTTAATACACAGGCATTGGTTAGAGTTTTAATACACAGGCATTGGTTAGAGTTTTAATACACAGGAATTGGTTAGAGTTTTAATACACAGGAATTGGTTAGAGTATTAATACACAGGCATTGGTTAGAGTTTTAATACACAGGCATTGGTAAAAACTTAATAACACGGGCATTAGTTTAGCTGCTACTAATGTTTCTATGTTTTGTTTGGATTTCAGGTTTTCATTTTGCATATCAGATTGTTAGAACTTGGTTTACAACAAAGGCATTGTTTAGGATTCTATTACACAGGCATTAGTTACATCCTTACACATATGCATTTGTAATTAGAAAGGTAGTACCTTCATGATTTGTACTGATAACTGATTGGATCTTACTAAATAATTGATCCAAATCGCCAAAGGCATGTTCAATCAATGGCCAACTTCCTGGCAATTCTGTTGACCACAATCAACATCAATCAAGATCAATCAACCAAATTGATTTATAATTTGACCTTTCAGGACAACATTACAATCAAACGCCTGTTGGAAAAAAAATAGCTTAATTTTTGATAATTTGTAAACAATTTGTAAAGATAACTTTGATTGGTTATTGCAGTGAAAATATCATCC